ATAGCTGGTGAACCTGGGAGCATTGGAACAAGTAACCACCAATGAACGAGCCACTCCAATCATCCCAGTCTTAAAAACAGATGGCGTGGCGAGGATATGTGGTAACTTCAAGGTTACAGTCAACCTAGTCCGGAGTGCAGATCAATACGCCCTTTCACTCATAGATCTATTCAGTGCACTGGCTGGGGGAAAGAAACTCTTAAAATGGCACAGGGCCTACTTGCAGATGGGGTTTGCAAAGGAGTCCCAGCTGCTGCTATCGATAGTGACACACAGGGGACTGTTCTGTTACAAGCGACTTCCTTTTAGCATCACTTCAGCACCAGTTCTATTCCACAGGGCCATGGACCAGATTTTGAGTGGATTGCCAGCTGTCCAGTGATATCTGGAAGATATTTTGTGGTTATTGGATTCTCCAAAGAGAAGAAACTCAAAAAAAGGTTACAGGTGCATGGCCTACATGTTAAAAGGGAGAAATATGCCATCAAAGGCCCCTAGACCAGAGAATGTGTTTTAACTGCGATCGGTCTTGGTAGTTGTAAATTGCTGTACTTGCGCTAAGACCTGTGCGTTGGTTGCTGGGAAAAGAGAGTTATGAAAATGGAGGCTTGCTGGTAGGTGAAGCAAGCACTGAAAAGGTTGGATGTGTTGAATAATTTCTCCCCACCATCCCCACTGCAGTTGGGGTGCCACCTCACTTTATGGGGTTGGCCCTGTACTTCCACATCTTGCCAAGAGAGAGGGAAGGCCCATTGCATTCGCATCAAGGTCACTAATGAAGATGGAGGAGAAGTATACTCAGGTGGAAAAGGAAGGGTTAAGCATTGTGTTTGACGTTAAGAAGTTCTCCCATTTCCTTTATAGCTGGCACTTCATGATGCTGACAGACCACAGGCTGTGAAGCTCCATTTTTGGCCTGTATACAGGAATACCATCAATGGTGGCAGCACGCCTGTCGAGATGGGCATTAGTTTTGACAGCCTATTCATATGATGAGATACTGACAGTTGAAAAAGCACAGAAATGCAGATGCTTTGTCAAGATTAACACTACTGCAAAATAAGGATGTTCCTGACTGGAACCTGAAAATTATGTACTTTTCCTAGGAAGACAACATATTGGTATCAGAAAGTCGGCTGCGAAATGGTGCTCAAAATGACCAAGTCTTGAACCTTGTAGTGGACTTAGTCCTGAGAGGAAGGACTCGTCATAGAGACCGCCCCGAATTATGCCTTGACCTGTCCAAGAGGTGGGAGTTGTTCATATCAGTTAATTGTCGTCCCTCCCCCATTAAGAGGAAAGGTGCTGGAACAAGTGCACTAAGGGCACCCTAGCATGGTGTGAATGAAAGAAATAGCCAAGAGCTACTTTTGATGGCTGAATGTGGAGGAAGTGGGATCATATTAATCCTGTGCATTAGTAAGGAAAGCATGGCCATCGTTGCCCCTTCATCCCATGGGAGTAGCCTCAATCAAACCATTTGCATGGTTTGGTAACTCCAAACAAGTCGTGAGTGACACTGATCCAGTTTGTGGCACAAGGGTTCAAGAAGTACCCAGAAAAGCAGAGTCAGACATGAGATTGGCTCCATATCACCCTGTGACAAACAGCCAGACGGAGAAATTTGTACAAACCTTGAAGCAGGTCTTGGAGTGTTCGCAAAGATGGTAACTTAAGTTCCTCAGCACATACAGGAATACACCATAGTCAATGACCCAGTGCTCATTGGTGTCCTTAATGTTTAACCACCAGCTGAGAATCACGCTTGACTTACTGCAACCAGAAGAGACCAGAGGTAGTAGATTGAAACCAGGAGGGACAGATGGTCAGAAGGGTGGGAACGTCAAGTTTGAGGGTATACCAAAGAGGAAAAGTTCTGGCCCAAAATTACACATCTGGGCAAAATGGATCCTAGTGGTGGTGGTGGTGGTTCAGATAGGACAGTTGTCATACACGGTGCAGTGTTGAACTAGTCTGGAGGAGACAGTGGACCAGCTGGTAGCTGCACCTCACCAACAGGGGACAGAATACTGAGCTGGTCCAGATGGGACCAGTGGTGTTGACTGAGCCAGAGTTGGTTGTATTGTGGGAGGAGACAACAGCCAGAGAGGATGTATCTGTGGAACAACAAGAGCTTCTAGTAGTCATAGAATCATACACATAGAAACCTTCGGTTCAACTTATCCATACTGACCAGACATTCCAATTTGAACAACTCCCATTTGCCATCATTTAGCCCACATGCTTCTAAGCCCTTCCTAATCACATACCCATCCAAATACCTTTTAAATGTTGTAATTGTAGCCACCTCCAACACTTCCACTGGCAGCTCATTCCATAAACGCACCAATCTTGGTGTGAAAATATCACCCCTCAGGTCCTTTTTAAATCTTTTCCCTTAAACCTATGTCCTCTAGTTTTGGACTCCCCTAACCTAGTAAAAAGACTTTGGCTATTCACCTTATCTTTGCTACTCATGATTTGAGGCTGCACTAGAAAAGATTCTGGAGAGGGAGGAGACGATCTTCTAGAAATGGCCATCCCCCTGAGAGACTGGTCATAACAATGTAGACTATGGAAGGATGATTTTCTTTTTTCTTTTTTTGTAAGTATTCCTGACTCCATACATATGTTAGCTACAATGCTGTAAAATAGTTATAAAGGTTAGATATATATTAAGAGGAGTATTGAAATAAAGGGGGAGGGGTGTTATGTATGTAGTTAGAGTGTTGCCCCTTTGAGAGAGTGGGTCAGGTGACTTGGAGGGAGCGTTAGTGGGAGTGGTCTAAAGGCCAACCATGGAGCTGAGAGAACTGACAATAAAGTATTCCCAGTTCAATTTTACCCTCTGTCTACTTCATGTTCCATTTATGGTTCTAGTGAACCACAAACATAATATAACGAGCTACATGTATAGAGAGATAATGACCAAAAGGGATGGCAAACAGGATAGAGGGAAACTGAGAGAAATAACTTTCATCAACCCAATATCAAATCAATAGGTTGAAGGATTATATGCTGAGAATAAAGCAAGAGCCAATGTAAGAATAATCCAGAGGGAGTTGAATAACGTCCTCAAATGCACTAATTTTTGGCAGTGCTGAAAAGCATCTGGAGCATATAGTCCCCTACAGGATAAGATATAGGAATGGAGTTGACAAGATATCCCATATTACTGGACAATTGGCAAATTATTTAAAGTCATGTCAAACAGCAAAGAACGACACAGGTGAATGCATTGAGGCCTGATGCCTCAGTTTGGGGTAGCACGGCATCTCAGTGGTTAGCCCTGCAGCCTCATAGTGCAGGGACCTGGATTTGAATCCACACCAAGTGACTGTCTGCATTGAGTTAACAATTCTCCCCCTGTCTGCATGGGCATCCACCCGCAGTCCAAAGATGTACAGGTTAACTGGATTGGTCATGCTACATTGCCCATAGTGTCCAAGGTTGTGCACGCTGGATAGATTGGGCATGGGAAATGTAGGGTGGGATGGTCTTTGGAGGGTTGCTGTAGATCCCTAGAGTCATAAAGGTGTCAGCACAGAAACAGACCCTTGGGTCCAACTCATCCATGCCAAGTAGATAGCCTAAATTAATCTAGTTCTATTTGTCCGCATTTGGCCAATAACCCACTAAACCCTTCCTATTTATATGCCTTTTAAATGTTGTAATTGTACCAGCCTGCACCACTTCCTCTGGCAGTTCATTCCACACATGCACCACCCTCTGTGAAGAAGTTGCCCCTTAGCACCCTTTCAAATCTTTCCCGTTTCACCTTAAACCCATGCTCTCTAGTTTTGGACTCCTGTACCCTGGAAAAAAGACCTTGGCTATTTACCCTATCCATGCCCCTCATGATTTTATAAACCTTCCTGAGCCTCCGGGGAAAGTAGTCCCTTGATGGTCTGCTTCCACACTGTAGGGATTTTATGATTTCTAGCAGGAACGAATAAAAACCATAATGAGTACACAAATGAATCCCATGCGATTTGCATCCCCTCTTCAAAAGTGTGCAAATTAACCACAAAGATTTTGTTTAAAATTTTATTAGTACTTGGACTTCCAAAGTTTATCGAGGGGATATTCAATCATTGTTCAGTAGGTACCACAAAACTCAGCATCTATCTAACCTGAACACTGGCCAGTGTATTAACTAAATTTCAAACCGCATTAAGACAGCCTAGCCCTCAGAGCTCTGATGGACTAGAAGAGGATGTATTTGGATTACAAATCATTGACCACTTAAATTATTTGAAACTGCATGAAATAATACGGAAACACTGCAACAATTCAACAGGGATAAGGGAGACAGCAGGAGTATAGCATTGAGATAAAGGATCAGCCATGATCACATGGGACAGCAGAGAAGGTTCATAGTTCAAATGACCTACTCCTGCTCCTGTTTTCTATATAATGATCCATTGTGTTCATTCACCTTTCGAAACAGCTGAAAAATTAGTTGCAACTACAAAGGACAGCATTAAAGTTACACTGCATTATAGAATTCATAGATGAACCTTGCTTCCTGATTTGCTCAGAAGTTTACATAGTCTGAATCAAGCCCCTAAGGATCACTGCATAATATAAAGAGTGCAAAACTTGTTATCCCAGGTTGGAAATCAAGGTAGCTGATAAGAAATGTAACAATGTCACATTCATGCAGGAGGAGTGGTTCTTGAAGTTAGGATAGAGGGATAATGTTAGAACAATAAAATAAAACAGAAAATGTGAAGCACTCAATAGATCAGGAAGCAGTTGTAGAGAAAAGAAGGTTCATGTTCTGTGTTTTATTGCTGCATATGGATATTAGGTATAATAAAGAGAACTGTTTAATTCATCATCACTCATAATCCCTCAACTTGATCAACACAAAATTCACTAGAAAATAAACATCTTTTACTGTGAGGAAATAGCGGACTTAAAAAAATTCCTACAAACTGAGATGGAAATTAATTTGCTCAAGCCCAAAGAAAAAGACCAATCTACCAAATGGAAGATTTCTAGTGCAATATAAAAATTTTTATTCAGTCCATGCACACCACACACATTCCATGATTGATTCAGTTACATTCCATTTACTTAAATAAACTTGAGAACAAAAATATTCCGTTCGTCCACCTCATGCTATTCTGCAGTATTGGACAGAATACAGTGGGACATGGAAAGCCAGGAGAAACATGTTTGTGCAGGATAGCAATAGGAACTCCCCTCTAAAACTAAAACTCCCTCTCTATGGCACTGTGGGTCAACCCACAGCACATGGACTGCAGCAGTTCAAGAAGGCAGCTCACCACCACCTTCTCTAGGGACAGGCAACAGATGCTGGTCAGTCAGCGACATCCACATCCCACAAATGAATAAAATCACATTGACCAGTCAAGGCTGTACAATTGCTGGCAAACATTTTGAGTATTGGCTCACCACTCCATAGCCCAAATCCTGAGAGAGTGTTCCCCCTTTCCATATTAAAAAATTACTCTGCTCAAATTAAGAGTAACCAGATTTACAGAAGGTCACAGACTCTGCATAGTTCCCAAAGTGCCCCCCCTACCAAGGATGTTAGAAGCAGAGTACATTAACTCTTCCCGCTTAAAAATGCCAACTCTCTCATGTTACCATTCCACCAGTCCTTCTTTATTATACAGTCAGTCATTCTTCACATGAACCTAAATTGTGATTCAGAAATTAATAACCACCACTGCAGGCCACACTATTGCCTTCTCATAGATATCTATCAGCAGAGGTTAATGGACAGCAGATAGGCCGCTAATAATTCTTCTTCCCAATTCCCATCACAAGCTGATCATAACAAAATGCTTCTCTTCTGCCACTTCCCAGCCAAAATGAGGAGCGAAACCCTGGTTCCTTCAGGTCGATGCAACTTGCCTGTGCATGCTTCACTAACTGGACAATTATGAACTAATTGTAGTGTCTTACATACACATCTTATCTTTCTCAACTTCCAAACACATTTCCATAAAATTAAGCTGGTGCATTACAAGTGTGTAGAATCTATTCTGGCATTGTAGAATTAACTGAATCACCCCCATATTTTATGGAGGCAGACTGCATTTAGTTAAAATTGAATCATTGGTTAATCATTTTTCTTTGTTGTTTTCATAAATGTTTAGGCTCAGTTCATATACTAGGAGTACAAAATTCAGTCCCTGGGCACCGCTGGATATCTTGACAGCGAAATAAGCAAGTACACTTTCATACAAATGGTAGTCGAAATCTGGAACTCTTCCCCCATATTGGCAAAACAAAGATTAATTAGGTAAGGATATTAAGGCAGGTATGGTCAAGTTAAAGTACAGACCAGCCGTGATCTGCTAAAACAACAGAAAAAGCTCAAGGGATTGAATGGTCTACTCTTGTTATTGTGTTATTGGATACAATATGTTCTTCAATAGGATAGGAACCTGGCAATGATGCCCAGACATATCTTCCACCTACGGTAACTTTTGCCAACTTCCTGCTCTATGTATCCCAGTTTGCATTCACAGCCTACCCAGTTGTGGCCTAGTTGTTACATGGAGCAGGAAAGAGGTGTATTAAAATATAAATATTAATATAAGCTCACCAAACAGAATGTGCGTCAGAAATGTCCTGGGCTGGGTGCTCATTCATAGCTGAACATGAAAACGTCTCATTTAACTAAATGTCAGATATCAATTTTCCACATGCAAAATTAATAATGCATTTATTGTGGGAACAGAACTATAGAATCCTGGGATGTAAACAGTCAGAGGACAAATATATTCAATTTCCACATTCCTGTCGACTGGGGCCAAATATGTGGTATTACATCCAGAACTCCTGCTTCAGTGAGGTGTTCAGCCACTGGATTGAATGATAACATGTAAAAGGCAGAGCTTAAGGAGCTGTCTGACTGGTAGTGTTCAGACAGGCTGTAAACTTGGCACGCCTCATCCTAAATCTAAAGGTAAGCCTTCACGTTTCATTTAACGTGCCCAGTAACAAGGACAAACAATACCCAAGAAATCCAGCAAATCCTGCAACTTTTAAAATGTACCACTGTATTCATTTCTCCTTTGCTTGACAGGGTTGCCTCAACTGGCAAGGGTGACACTTGCAAATACACATATTTTTGAGCCAGCAGTTTCCCAATGCAAGTATTTTTACTGGCTGTTGGCAACCACTGTTGGTCCACATGGAGTGCAGCCCCATCAGTGGAGCCATGAGGCAGAAAGGTCAGTAAACAATATCCAGAACACTGCCAACTCACAAGTTGACCTTGTTCATCACTGGGATTCTTCTTGGCTTCACAAGCTGATGAGTTGAGTAGTTAAAAAAACAAAAGGTGGCCAGGCTCCTGCGTTATTGAGTGGCACCCATGCCTACATGGGGATATTTCCATGGTAACTTGCAAAATCCTATTCCTAAATATCACTGGATTCTGGTTGAATGGGAAGTGTACCAAAGTGGTTGCAGTGGAGAGAAGTTCACCCTTTCAGGAGAGCAGAAACACCTCCTGCTTTGTTTAGGTGCTTCAGAGGCAGTTCCAACATTGTTCAAATGGAAATTTTGACATGTATCCAAAAGGAAATGTTAATCACCTTTAATCGAAGACAGACTTAATGTAGCAGCAGAAACATCCCCACCACATACCAGGAGGACATTTTTCGACCTCTCCCTTTTTGTCTACATTTAAAGCAGACACTGGCATAAGGTTTGGTTGTGGGAATGATGTTCACTCTATGGTTTTATGTGACTTTTCTTCCTACAAATAAGATATATTGGTTGACTGTTTAATGTGAGCTAATCTTGCTTTTGCCTGAAGTCCAAATGTGAAATTCCAGTAAAGTAAGGACATGGAGGAACGGTGTTGAAACAAAGGTACAGAATCTCTGGAAAACTTCTTCCTCCCAAATGTAGGACTTTCATAATGTGGCCCTACCCGAGGTCAGCTTTGATCAGTGATGAGTCCATCAGGCAACTTGTTGAGTGCTACTTTCTATCACCAAGACCTGCTCCCGACAGGATTTTTTGCCTGTTGTGATTTCCCCACTCAGTGTTTTCAGTGTATCTTAACACAGACCTGAACCAAGCCAACCAAAGCTCTTAAGCTACACCTTAGTGTTGGGTTGTGAAAATGACAGCCTGTATTGCCAAACCAATTCGCTAATGACACCAGCCAACAAGGGAATTTAGATCCTTCAGTAATCTAATTCTGCAAACAGATACAGATGTCAGTCTGAGATAAATCTAAATGAGGTCTGCATTGATGACCATCTGGAAATTGTGTGATAAAACCATGGGTCAGTGAATTACCCACCCACGAATACCACAGTAAAGTCACTAATAGAGTTTACTGTTTGGCTTGTCGCAGACTGTAAGTCACCAGCTTAAACTCCATACTTTGATTGTCAAGGCTTCATATCCAGTCCTGTTTGAAGTTGGCAAGTTGGAGTGGGGTTGGATGAGATGACATCCAGTCCCAATGCAACTCTGTCGAGTTTCATGCAGAATCGAGGTTGAGATTTAGAGTAACAGGGAGGAACATTAATTTCGCGAAGTTTTTTTAAAATGGCAGGTGTGGAACCTGCTGTATAAGTTGCTGATTAATTCTAGGTGCCCTGAGGTTACTTTTCCCCCCTCCCCCCCAATGAAATCAAGCATTTCAATTTGATGTGGGTTTAAGCTCTGGCAAGGAAGCAGTCCCCTGCCCTCCTCCAGGTATCTGGTGTTCTACATTGCTTTCACTTTGATCTGCTTCATTTTCATCTGACGCTTCTCCAGCTTCTTTTGCTCACGGCGAAGAGCAGCTTCCTGCAATGAAGAACACACCATTAAATCAGTTGGAGGGACAGGGGAGAATGGAAAAATCTGCAGCAAAGCTGGCATGTGTCATTGCCTGTCTAACAGAGGCTGAGTAGAGACACTAATAGTGACAGCAAAGTGATCAACTTTTCACTGCCCACTGACATGGCCAGGCAAGCCATGTCAGAGAAACAACTTTGCCTAATGTCAGTTTTAAATGAGCAAACCCTGATTTTTAAATGGTGATCCCATGGTTTTAGATTTTCCCCATCACAGGAAACATTCATTCCACATCCATCCTGTCAAGGTCCGTCAGGATTTTACATGTTTCAGTAAAGTCACCAATTACTCTTCTAAATTCCAGCAGATACAAGTTTAATCTGTCCAACCATTCCTCAGTGAGACAACCCACCTATTCCAGGTATAGTTTGGTAAATCTCTGAACTACTTACAATGCATTTAAATCCTTCCTTAACTAAGGTGACCAATACAGTGCACAGTACTCCAGATGTGGCCTCACCAGTATCCTCTATAAGTGAAGCATAACCTTCCTATTATTGTATTCAATTCCCCTCGCAACAAATGGTAACATTCTATTAGCTTTCCTAATTGATTGCTGTAGCTACATTCTGACTTTCTGTTAATTATGCATCAGGATACCCAGATCCCTTTCCATACCGGAGCAACCATAGAATTCCTACAGTGTGGAAACAGGCCCTTCAGCCCAACAAGTCTACACCGACCCATTCTACTATAACCCACCTAATCTACACATCTCTGAATGCTATGGACAATTTAGCATGGCCAATCCACCTAGCCTGCTCATCTTTGGACTATGGGAGGAAACCAAAGCACCCAGAGAAAACCCACACAGACATGGGGCGGTGATGGTGTAGTGGTATTATCACTGGACTGTTAATCCAGAAACCCAGATAATGTTCTGGGCACCCGTTTCGAATCCTGCCATGGCAGATGATGGAATTTCAAATCAATAAAATATCTGGAATTAAGAGTCTAATGATAACCATGAAGCCATTGCTGATTGTCAGGAAAAACCCATCTGGTTCACTAATGTCCTTTAGGGAAGGAAACTGCCATCCTTACCTGGTCTGGCCGACATGTGACTCCAGACCCACAACAATGTGGTTGACTCTTAGCTGCCCTCTGGGCAATTAGGGATGGGCAGTAAATGCTGCCTAGCCAGCCGTGAATGAATAAAGAATGTGCAAACTACACACAGACAGTCGCTCAAGGCTGGAATCAAACCCCGGTTCCTGGCGCTGTGAGGCAGCAGTGCTAACCACTGAGCCATCACGCCACCCAAAAAAATGTTTGTTGGTTATTCTTTCTGCCAAAAATGGACCACTTATATTTTCCTGCATTATAGCCCATTTGTCTCATCTTTGTCCACTCGTTTAACCTATCAACTTTTTGTAGCCTCCTGTCCTTTTCATGATTTAGTTTCCAAACTATTTTTGCATTGTCAGCAAGTTTGGGAATGATATCTTAAGAACATAGAACAGTACAGCACAGTACAGGTCCTTCGGCCCACGATGTTGTGCCGATCTATTATTCTCCTAAGATCAATCTATCCTGCATACCCTACATTTTACTATCCTCCATGTGCCTATCGAAGAGTCGCTTAAAAGTCTCTAAAGTATCTGACTCCACTACCACTGCCGGCAGCGCATTCCACATGCCCACCACTCTGTGAAGAACCTACCTCCGACATCTCCCCTATTCCTTTCTCCAATCACCTTAAAATTACGACCCCTCGTAATAGTCATTTCCGTCCTGGGAAAAAGTCTCTGGCTATCCACTCTATCTACACCTGTCATCATCTTGTACACCTCTATCAAGTCACCTCTCATCCTTCTTCGCTCCAGTAGAAAAAGCCCTAGCTCCCTCAACCTTTCTTCATAAGACCTGCCCTCCAGTCCAGGCAGCATCCTGGTAAATCTCCTCTACACCCTCTCTAAAGCTTACACATCTTTCCTATAATGAGGTGACCAGAACTAAACACAACATTCCAAATGTGGTCTAACCAGAGTTTTATAGAGCTGCAGCATAACCTCACGGATCTTAAACTCAATTCCCCTGCCAATGAAATCCAACACACCATTGGCCTTCTTTACAACCCTATCAACTTAGGTAGCAACTTTGAGGGATCTATGGACATGGACCCCAAGATCCCTCTGTTCCTCCACACTGCCGAGAATCCTGCCATTAACCCTGTATTCTGCATTCAAACTCGACCTTCCAAAATGAATCACTTCACACTTTTCTGGATTGAATTCCATCTGCGACTTCTTTGCCCAGCTCTGCATCCTGTCAATGTCCCACTGCAACCTACAACAGCCCTCCACGCTGTCCACAACTCCACCAACCTTCGTGTTATTGGCAAACTTACTAACCCACCTTTCCACTTCCTCATCAAAGTCATTTATAAAGATCACAAAGAGCAGAGGTCCCAGAACAGATTCCTGTGGAACACCACTGGTCACCAAGCTCCAGGCTGAATACTTTCCATCTACTACCACCCTCTGTCTTCTATTGGACAGCCAGCTTTGTATCCGGACAGCCAAATTTCCCTGAATCCCATGCCTCCTTACTTTCTGAATGAGCCTGCCATGTGGAACCTTATCAAATGCGTGTGTTGTCGATGGGGGACAGGCTTTAGGAAGGTAGGAGGTGAATTATTCGCTGCAGGATTGCCAGCCTCTGACTTGCTCCTGTACCACAGTATTTATTTGGCTATAATCTAGTTTAGTTTCTGACTCTTCATTAAGTAGTTCATATAAATTGTGAACAGTTGAGGTTCCTGTGGCACAGCACCCATTACATTTTGCCAATCTGAAAAAGACCCACATACAGCTACATTTTGCTTTCTATCAGCCAGTCTTCTCGCCATGCCAACATGCTATCCCCTACATTACAGGGTATTAGGAAGAGTCAAGGCAGCAACAGATCTTTACCCAGCTTCCAGATATTTATCAGTTGGGAGCACTTGACATCATCGCAGGGTATGCATTGCTACTACCCATCTAAATAAAAGAACATTGTAATCCTACTGTAATAGACTTGTCCTGTGCTTCTGTTGTACTTTCAGCAGGCTTATCTCCTCCAATATACACACAGACTGAAGAGATAGACATCAAACAGTAAGCTTTATGATGTGGCTTTATGATGGGACAACTGGTAAGAACCTTCAGATTAGGAAAGTTAGACTCACGACAGCATAGAGTCTATGTTGGCCAAGTTTTTGATTCAAATCTTGCTCTGCTTGGTGATGTCAGCCAGGAGCACCAAAGTCAGCCCCTTCGCTGTGAAGTGAGAGGAAAAAGATACAAGGCCCATAAATGATGAGGAAAAAGGTCACAGAAACTCAATTTATGCACAAAACTGCTATCAGCAGTTTCATTCCAGTCATTCGAGCTGTATTTGAATGAAGCTGTTAGAAATGAAAGGCCAATATACAAGCAGAACAAGTGACTGACAGGGTTGGGGTAGTGCCAGAAGGATTTTGTACCTCAAGCCGGCGTTGTTTCTCTGGGTCCTCCTCATTCATGATCCTTTCTTTCTCTGCTCGCTTCTTCTCCTCCCTGCGTGTTTGTGCAGCTTCTTGACGTTGTGCATGTGTCATTTTTAGAAAGTTCTCCTCCACACGAGCGCGATTTTTATCGGCTTTTATTTTACCCTGGATGAGGGGGGAGTTGATGGAAAGAAATAAAAATCAAACACTTACTTGCAGATAGCAGTTAGGAACAAAGGAAACCTGAATCAAATGAACAACAGCAGCTCACCACCACCTTCTAAAAAGCAACTAGTGACAGGCAATAAATGCCAGCCCAACCAGTGAAACCTACATCTTGTGAATGTGGAAGAGGAAAAGGATAGAGAAGGGGGAGGAGGAGAGGTCAAGGAAGCATAAAAAGGAGGTGGAAGGGAGGGACAGTACCTTTCAAGTCAGTTAAATACACAACCGCTGGTAGATATTTACGGTCATTTTATCTTCATTAGGACAACAAGTGCAGGTACATGTCTGTCAAATTGAAAGTAAGCAGTCTTTTTTTGACAAAATAGCTCAGGGCTGAAATGATAAAGTATGTAAACGAACGTATGGAACTAGTTGAATGGTCTATACAACTTCAACCGTACAGTAAACAGTGTCATGTCGGGAGGGGAGGAAGCATCTGGTAGTGGAATCAGAGTGGAAACACAGGCAAGGGAACTACAAGTTGGTCTCTCCAACCTAACAAAATGCTGGACAATTGTGAAAGTAACAAGTCTCACTGGGGCACCTATCTATTGAGAAACACTGATGCGTGGGTGAACCTGTCATGAAATGAAACACATGAAATGTGCTCTCACCTCTCTGTTCAGACGATACTTCTTTGCTTTGTCAATGCTGTGAATAACCATATTCATTAACGGTAACAAGGACTCCATATCCTTTGGAGAAGTGTTGCCGGTTCCAGGCACTGCACAGAATAAACTTGCATTAAGGTCTAACCTTGATCGTAGCCAATTACTTTGTAAAGCCAGAAACAGCTTTATGGATTAAAATATCAAAATTGGATTGACTTGATCTCAGGACTGGGCCGAGCTTCCAGGACCTGTCATTTGGCCCATCAAGTCCAAAGTTTTATCATCCATCAACACAATTT